TAATCATTACTCCGATCCCGAAGGCCAACAGAATAGGATCAAAATCCTATGATGTTATCCCATGCTAATGTATACAGAGCGTAGGCTTGCTTTGAGCACTCTAATTTCTTAAAAGTAACAGCGCCGGAGGCACGACCCGACCAGTTAAAGCCAGGAGCGCATCGCCGACAGAAGGGACGAGCCAATCGGTGCTTACCATAGGCGGACCGATCGACCCAACCCAAGGGCCAACTACGATCGACCCAGACCTGCGATTGTAACCCAAAAACCCGTGCCTTAAATCGACGACCCGCGCCTCGGCCTGACTTCTGCTAGCACATGCAGCTGCTCCTTGTTGCACCACGTGTAAGCATCTGGCACAAAACTCTCTTCGGCCCCGACAACAGCTTCTCAACTCCGGCAGCTTATTTGGCTCGTAAAACCTATTTTCGACCTGTTCGACACTTTCATCGAGTCTAGTGACAATGGTGTATCTTGATCGAAGGCAGTTAGAGAATTTAATGAGGTGAAATGCGAACTACAGTGCAAGAGTTGTATGAGAGAGAGATAGAGGGACGGTGGTAGGGCCGAGAAACGCCGAGCAATAAGTAACTAACCCCAACTTGCTCTAAGATTTCAAATGGTTTGACATGGAATGAGCTACTCTTTCTACCAAACCTCAAAACACCTCTTCTTTCATCTACTTTGTGTTGTTTATATCATTCTCCTAATCTTTTGGATAGCGTTACTCGTAACTTGTACTAACAGAATGCTTAATAATTTGCGTTTTACTACCTCATCTTAGTAAGCAAAGATTCTGCACCTTTTTCGCCATGTCGATGATTGCCTGATAGCTATTATTATATGAGCATTCCATGAACGGCAAGTTGGAGGTCCAACTACCAAGAAAATCCAACATACAAATGCTTTGCATATCTTCTAAGATCTTGTTCAAACATTTTGTTTTGTCATCCATCTGTAAGTAAAAGGTTGTGCTAAACTTTATTACACCTCAAAACTTAAAACTTCGCAAAAGATGGACATGAACGAGGATCTCATTCCAATACAATAGAAATAGAATCTGATGTCTCACATTGGCTGGGAAGGAGAAAAAAACACCATTTATAAGGGTGTGGAAACCTTTCCCTAGCAGACGCGTTTTAAAGTCTTGAGGGGAAGCCCGAAAGGAAAAGCCTAAAGAGGACAAAATATGCTAGCAGTAGATCCAGAACGTTACATAGAAATCCATATAATCTAACAACTTAACTTCTACAACTTATCTAAAGGTTGTCTTTTCGATTCATTTACATACTTAAATCATAAGATTAACCATTGAAGGCCTTTAGTCATTACGTTGTACCGGTAGGTTCTAAACTCAATCCTAACTTCTTGAAATCTTAGTGCGCATTGAAGCTAAGTTGAGGCATACACAAAGTTCGAGAGAACGATGCGACACAATTATCGAAGACAAGCTTGAAGAGAGCCATGTAGGACCTCGAGCCAAAACCTCAGAAGTTAGGATCTTGAAATCCTAGTGTGCATTGAAGCTAAGTTGAGGCATACACAAAGTTCGAGAGAACGATGCGACACAATTATTGAAGACAAGCTTGAAGAGAGCCATGTAGGACCTCGAGCCAAAACCTCAAAAGTTAAGGATCTTGAAATCTTAGTGTGCATTGAAGCTAAGTTGAGGCATACACAAAGTTCGAGAGAACGATGCGACAAAATTATCGAAGACAAGCTTGAAGAGAACCATGTAGGACCTAGAGCTAAAACCTCAGAAGTTAGGATCAATTATCGAAGACAAGCTTGAAGAGAACCATGTAGGACCTAGAGCTAAAACCTCAGAAGTTAGGATCTTGAAATCTTAGTGTGCATTGAAGTTAAGTTGAGGCATACACAAAGTTCGAGAGAACGATGCGACACAATTATCGAATACAAGCTTGAAAAGAGCCATGTAGGACCTCAAGCCAAAACCTCAGAAGTTAGGATCTTTAAATCCTAGTGTGCATTGAAGCTAAGTTGAAGGACCTCAAGCCAAAACCTCAGAAGTTAGGATCTTTAAATCCTAGTGTGCATTGAAGCTAAGTTGAGGCATACACAAAGTTCGAGAGAACGATGCGACACAATTATCGAAGACAAGCTTGAAGAGAACCATGTAGGACCTAGATCCAAAACCTCAAAAGTTAGGATCTTGAAACCTTAGTGTGCATTGAAGCTAAGTTGAGGCATACACAAAGTTCGAGAGAACGATGCGACTTAATTATCGAAGACAGGCTTGAAGAGAGCCATGTAGGACCTCGAGCCAAACCTCAAAAGTTAAGGATCTTGAAATCTTAGTGTGCATTGAAGCTAAGTTGAGGCATACACAAAGTTCGAGAGAACGATGCGACTTAATTATCGAAGATAGGCTTGAATAGAGCCATGTAGGACCTCGAGCCAAAACCTTAGAAGTAAAGGATCTTGAAATCTTAGTGTGCATTGAAGCTAAGTTGAGGCATACACAAAGTTCGAGAGAACGATGTGACACAATGATCGAAGACAAGCTTGAAGAGAGCCATGTAGGACCTCGAGCCAAAATCTCAGAAGTTAAGGATCTTGAAATCTTAGTGTGCAGTGAAGCTAAGTTGAGGCATACACAAAGTTCGAGAGAACGATGCGACACAATTATCGAAGACAAGCTTGAAGAGAGCCATGTAGGACCTCGAGCCAAAACCTCAGAAGTTAGGATTTCAATATGAGTTTCGACATGCCGCTTGGGAATTAAGCAACTTGATATACAAAATATAATTTACTCCATTTTATACCAGTTGTTCATTGCTATATAAAATAATTTTTTTTTTTTGCTCAACAATGATTTTTTTAATATAACTTAATCACTGCGAAATTAAAATATCTTATGCTTAATGGACTCACTATACAACAAGTAACTGAAGTAGCCACAAGCACCGGCAATTAGGTGGTCTTACTAGTAAGTAGACATCATGTCATCACATATAACGAACGTGGAAATTAGGTGGTCTTACTTTTGTCCCGAGCATGAAAAAAGTGATAAAAAATAGAACAACGAGACCCTATAAAAAATTTCAATTTTCAAATAAATATAATTCGCTTTCGCACTTTGCCATAATTTTAATGTCAACAATAATAGAATCCAAATCTCAAACAACCAAACAAAAATAATCACTAGATACTCGAGATAGAGAGTCAACCCTTTCAAATGGTTAGGTTGGAATATAAACTAAAAATCAAATTAAAAAAAAAAGGAAAGAAAATATTGTTATAGTAAGATATATTAGATCGTTAAATAATGGATTAAAGAACGAAAAAAGATGTTTATGTAGATTTACCTATAGAAACCGATTTACGTGAAGAGAGATGTCGTCTGTAGAAGCAGATTTACGTGATGAGATGTCGTCTATAGAAGCCGATTTACATGAAGAGAGATGTTGTCAGTTTTTTAAGTAAGGTTTATATTAGATCGCCAAATAATCGATTAAAGAAAGAAAATGTCCTGTACGCAGTTACGCAGATTTACTCGTAGAAAAGAATCGATTAAAAATTGGCCAAGAATATATGTGTACAGAATTATGGAGAGAACAAAAATGACTTCACGTAGTTACATCATGCAGAAGAAGACTAACGTGAAGAGAGATGTCTTCAGTTTGTTACCATAAAATACCGCCAAAGAATTGATTAAAGAACGAAAGTGGCCTGTACACAATTACTCAGATTTACATGTAGAAACAGATTTATGTGAAGAAAGATGTCATAGGAGCAAATCAGGTAAGTCGCCTTACTATCGACATGGTTAGATTTGATGTTGTGTCAATACGTTCCCCGTGGTTTTGCACGTGCCATATATTTGATATATGTGAATTGTTTATGAAACGATATGACTATAATATGATATGCATACGTTACGGTATGTGAATGGTTAGAAATTGGAATAAAACATTATTTATAAAAATGTGGAAAACTTGGACGGTTACATTACCCAATATACAATAGCTCAACTTAGCACTTCATTGGTACAAATAGTAACTCTTTTTTTAGTCATCTTATCTTTATAATTTCTCTCATTTAAACCGTGTCTCGTTTTATTCATATACCTCCTCTTTATTCGGGTGTAACAAAAATATTTTCCACAAACAAATTTAAGAATTTATATTATGAATGCTGGATTACCACAAAGTCATTTCTTATCAATTAAAATTAGAATATTCTTAAATTTTTATATTTTAAATACTAATAATAATAAAGTTCCCTATGGAATAAGATAAAGTTGAGAAAGAACCATCCATCTTATGAATCAATGGCTGACATTTGTTTTTCCATCTTATGATTCTTATAAATAAATACTATCAAGAAAAAGAATCAAGAATAAAATGGGTGGTCGACAATGCCGGTTTATGCTTTCCCTATAAATTCTGAAGTTGGGGCAATAGTTTGGAATAAGAGTCAAGCAAGGGAGAGCTCCCAATCGTAGGCAATAAGCGTTTAGATTTTGGGTCTTCTACTCTCGGGTTTCTTCCAAATTTGAGAGCAATTCTCAACCATTTCCTTTCAAACTTGTTCCTCTAGTTTCTAAACAATATTACCCACAAGTGTTATGAAGGAATAGGGTTCGGCAAGTGCCTAGAAACCATTCCCCCAATCCAATCCGCCATTAAAGAGCTTCAAGGAAAACTCAAAATTCAAATCAGAGGATACACAAAATTCGTTGAGCAAGAACAATCTCAATAAGTTTCTGTACCTTCAAGGAATGTTTTCATTGAAGACCACGAAGAGAAATAACCTTAGAAACGATTCCAATTGAAGAAAATTCATTTCGTGTTCAAATTGTGGGTAAGTGTCAAATTCCTATCTATGACCTCTTTTCCTTCAAATAAAGGATTCCTTTAGCTTAAGAGGAAAAAAATGAGTAACTTTGATGAAGGAATCAAGAGCTGAAAAAACGTCTAAGAACAAGATACCTAAGAGATTGAAAATCGGAGGTGTCATGTAACTGTCAGACCGAGAGTGATTTCTCAAATTAAGGTCCCACACTCAAAGTTGTTCCTCGAAACCAATTTCTTAAGCTTGAGGAAAGAATAAGGAAGAAGTTCCATGAAGAAATCGAGCCTTGAAAACCCTTAGAATCGGCTACCCAATAAGAAATCATTTGTTTTTACTCCAGCGAGAAATTATATTTTGGACGAACTTTGGAAGCGAATATCTAAGGCTACGATCCACGAAAAGGTATGAAATCAATCCATAGCTCTTCCTTGTAATACCCTCTTTAAGTTTCATGAAGAACTCGAGGGGAGAAACGGCGTGATCGGAGCTGGGGAGGGCGAGTTTCAGACGGCGGCGCGAAAGATCACGCATGTCTTCTTCCCATCGGGAGGAAGAAGACGATGACATGGCCGGTTCAATTGAACCGGCCATGTCAACCAAAAACTTGACCCCTCGATTTTTCTAAAATTTAACCCTATTCTAGAATGGTTCTCAGAAAAATCTTTATGGTTCCAGAAACTAGACACAATAAGAAGTCTGTGGAAGAAAATTGAAGGTAATTCAGGTATCGGAAGATCATGAACAGAGGTCCCGAACGTCGACAACGCGGTAAATAGCCACCTTGCACTTTTTCGTTAAGAAATACTTGTAGGAATCGCTTGGATTTCCATATGAACCCTAAAACAAGTATGAATTTCGGATATATGAAAGAAAAGCTCAAAGAACCATGAGTTAAGGCCCTAAATCGATCAAAATACTCGGGAATTAGGGAACGTTAAAATAACTGACTAGATGAACTCTGCTCTAATAGCCCAAAAAAAAAAAAAATCATAAATAATGAAATAAATAAAGAAATAAAGAAATAAAAATAATTATAAAAAAAAGGAAAATGGCCTTTATGGAGTTGAGATTCATGGGAGATTTAAGTGAAGATAGATTTGAACAATAAGGTATATATTAAATCTTCGTTTTCTTTTATCCTATTCTTTTTAGTTTTTTTTAAGAAATCATAGCCAATTATAGTTAGATTTTCATTGTTTAGTTTTGAGTTAGAAACTAAATGTCAGTCATTTATACGAATTCTAGTAAATCACGTTATATTAGTAATATTAGATTAAATTTATATCCGTAGCAAATGAATAGATTAAAAATAAAATGACCAAGAAAATTTGTGAACAAAAGGAAACACCAAGATAAGGAAAGATTTGGAAATAGGGATCCACTATAAATTTGGAATACATGAGAACAAAATTAGAAGGCAACAGAGTAAATACCCATTAAAAAAAAAGGAAGATTCTGTAATTAAAACATAAACTAAATAAAAAAGCATAAACTAAATACAGAAAAAAGTAAATATAAGAGTAGACCCAAGTAATAATTTTATAGTATTCAAACTTGAAATTGATGTCATGGGCTCAAATAGGTTTACTGATTTCAAAGGACATAATCGAACTTTCATTAAGGATATATTCGTGACAACAACTTAAGTTAACCAGGTAAGCGGCCTTACTATCGGCATGGTTATATTTGATGTTCACACGTGCCTGTGGTTCTGCACGTGTCATATATACTGATATGTGTGAATTATCTGTGAATCAATATGCTTATATTATGTTTATGTTATGCTATAATATGTGAATTGTATGATAATATTTATGGTGTGATGTGTTTAATGATATGTTTGATATATGATACGAGAAGGATGCACTAAATGTAATGTAACGATAGAAGTAAGATGTATTCACGAAACATTAAGGTTAGGTTATGCCTCGAAGTGCTATGGATATGAGAGATTGATAAAATAATATGGTTAGGATATGGGTAGAAAGAACTCCCTAAGAATCTATGAACTTCTAGAACAACTTACGCTAAGATGGGTTCATATGATTACAAATGAAAGTTACAACTTATGCCCCAAGAAATTATGAACCTTAGAAACTTACAAGATTGAGGACCAAGAACAACACCACACAAGCTTCACAACTACCCAAGTAAGAAGAATGCTAGGTACCACTCAAGGACGAGGGACCAAGGTCCCCAAACTAAACAACTACCCAAGTAAGAAGAATGCTAGGTACCACTCAAGGACGAGGGACCAAGGTCCCCAAACTAAAAAACACAAGAATGCTAGGTAATACTCTAACCATGCCCAAAGTGACCTATGACCTCGCATTAAGCGGTGCTTTCTAAGGCCCAAGAATTCCTCTTCTAGGTGGGATGACCTACACCATGTTTCCTTTGCAGGATGTCATGTTTGGCCTCAAGTTTCCCTCAAGGGTGCTGATAGAAAGGGACTAACAAGACTCGATGCTACCGGTGCATGAGGTAATCTGTGCAAGAACCAATGGACTACGGTCATTCAAAATACTTTGGGACACACCAATGAGGAGGAGGTGTCGCCTACAGTTTGATGCCCGAGCATCAAGCCTATACACCTAAGCAACCAAACCACCACTCATGCGCCGTACGCTAAAACAATCTTGGACGACGATCGACTATTCACACCTACCGCAAGCGGGGGTTCAAAATCATCATTCGAAGACAATCTTGGACGACGATCGACTATTCACACCTACCGCAAGCGGGGGTTCAAAATCATCATTCGAAGCCGAGCCCAAAACGTCGTGCGCGGTCAAGCCATCAACCATCCTAAAGACAGCCCAAGTTAGGAGGCAACATCGCAACAGTCAGTGCAAAGCGAGGCTCATGTCGCACGCCCAAAGGCACTTGATACTGCCTCACCATGCAAGTTATGCCAACACGCCCCCTTCAAAACATAGGGCTGGCCCAAGGATGGCCCAATGGCGTCACCACAACGTCACACGCTCAACGAGGTTCATGTTGGACGCCCGAAGGTACCCAACTCCACCCCACCTTGCATGCTTTGTGTCGTACCAACCATCAACCATCCTCAAGTCAGCCCAAGTTAAAAGGCCACATTCCATGCTCAACAAGTCTCATGTCGCACGCCCAAAGTCATTTGACACCGCCCCACCAAGCATGTTATGCCACCACACAGCCTTCAAAACATAGGGCTAGCCTAAGGAAGGGAGGCATACCACAACAACGTCCCACACTCAACGAGGTTTATGCCGCACGCCTGAAGGCACCCAGCTCCACCCCACCTTGCATGTTTCATCATCATACCAGCAGCCATCCATAGTCCAAACACTAGAGATTCCCAGTTACAAGGCAACAATGCAACATTCCGTGCTCAACGAGGCTCATGTCGCACGCCCAAAGGCACCCGATTCCATCCAGCCGAACATGTTCTGGCACCACACGCCTTCAAAACATAGGGCTGGCCCAAGGCTGGCCGAGCATCACCACAACGTCACACACTCAACGAGGTTCATGCCGCACGCCCAAAGGCACCCGACACCACCCCACCTTGCATGTTTCATCATCGTACCATCCATCAACCATCCTCAAGCCAGCCCAAGTTAGAAGGCAACATCGCAACATTCCATTCTCAACAAGGCTCATGTTGCACGCCCAAAAGCGCACCCGACACTACCTCACCGTGCAAGTTTCGCCACCGCACCACCGCCATCAACCGCCCTCGTCCGCCAACCACCACCCCCACACCCCAAGCATATGCCCACGTGCAGCACATAGTGCTTGGGGCGTGGGGGTGGCGGAAGATATAGGGGGTACCCCCGTGCCTAGCCCATGCAGACTAGTCACCCCCTTATATAGTACATTTTGAAGCATTTTTTGGTCTGCCACGCCTAGATACGATTTTTCTAAGCCGTCATACGGTCAAATATCTAAAGTTTTAGATTGTTTTTTTCCATGAACTCGATTTATTCATTAATGGGACATTCTAATGGATCTATAAATAAGTTTCATCATTTTTCAACCAACCAATTTTTTTTAATAAATTTTTAAATATTAAATAATAGGAAATTAGAAAAAATAGCTAGACTTGTCAAGAAAAATCTGAAATTTTGTGGGAATCATTCTTTCATGTTGCTTAGCTCCCAAGAAAAAAATATACAACAAACCGACCACTCCACATGTAGTTTCACAATTAATGGGTGATGGTTGTAAAAACAAGGTAATGGTGGATGTCTTGGTGTAATGTACTTTCTCTAGTATCAAAACTCTTCAGTTTATTGTGAAAAGTGAATGACTTTTTTTAATGAAAAGTGAATGTTCATCAAACCCAATTCCCATGAAAAGTGAATGTTCATTTTCAATGCTTTTATTGTTATGATTTTTTTTTTTTTTTGGAACTAAGAAAAGAGTGACACTCATTAAATTTAACTATTTTTTCTTTTGCTTATCTTACTTTCCACCGATGTTCGGTGTGATAAATTGTTAACCTTCAAGGCTTTATACGTGTACTCACGCTTCATAGGCATTGGGTGTGATGTTTTTTTTATGGAGGTAAAATCCAACACTTTTGATATGCTGTTGGTAGGTCATGTATCGCACATAGCATAGGATGGGGCTTGGCGTGTGCGAGGGGAGTGCGGGGTGAGCGCACGGGGGCATGCAGGGGTGTGCGGGGGAGCATGCGAGGTGAGCGTGCGGGGATGTGCGAGGTGAGTGCGCGGGGGTGTGCGGGGTGACTGCAGGGGGAGCACGCGCGGGGGGCGTGCAGGGCGTGCGGTGGCGGGTGAGGGGAGTGCGAGTTAACCTCCAAGGGTTTTGGATTTCTTTGATTTTTCATAGAGGTTAACCTATGAAAGGGTTTTGTGGCTAGCATGCGTGCCTTTTTAGTGGGTATGTAGACAAGGGTGTGAACATGGACTTGTTCGTTGTGCTTGCGTTGGGTAGGTGTTGGTGGGCATGATGTGTGCGCAAAGGTGATAGGGGCGTTGCTGCGGCGTGGGGCTTGGCGCACGCACGAGGGGGCAAGCACTGGCACCCCATGATTGCCGACCATAGGCCTTAGCGGGCACACGAGCGCCCAAGCCATGCTCCAACCCACCCATGCATCATTCTCACTAACACCCAAACCAACACTACCCCAACTCACGTATGCATTTTAGATGGCCTTGCATTGGAGCATGTCCAATCATCAACACTTAACACGTAGAATCATTACTTTTCCTATAACCACCATGACACTTGAAAGAAATAAATTGGTTTATTGTGTGGGGAGGGACGAATCGGAGCGACGAAGGGCTGAATCTCAGTGGATCGTGGCAGGAAGGCCACTCTGCCACTTACAATACCCTGTCGCATATTTAAGTCGTCTGCAAAGGATTTTACCCATCGCTCAGTGGGAATTACGTTACAAGGCAGCCCTTGAGACTCATCCGTCACAAGGGCTTAGCCAACGACACGTGCCTTTGGGGGCCAAAAGGCCCCTACTGCTGGTCGGCAATCAAGCGATGGGCGCATGCGTCGCTTCTAGCCCGGATTCTGACTTAGAGGCGTTCAGTCATAATCCAGCGCACGGTTGCTTCGCGCCACGTGCTTTTCAACCAAGCGTGATGACCAATTGTGCGAATCAACGATTTCTCTCGTACTAGGTTGAATTACTATTGCGACACTATCATCAGTAGGGCAAAACTAACCTGTCTCACGACGGTCTAAACCCAACTCACGTTCCCTTTTGGTGGGTGAACAATCCAACACTTGGTGAATTCTGCTTC